AAAAAAAAAAAAAAAGTACTTCTAGGAGCCAGGACTGGGAGCCAGCCAATACTTGCCTCAGAGAGGACAGCGCTATAAAAGATCCCATACTAGAACCCCACCTACCTCAGTGCCTCTCTGCCAGAGGCTCCAAGGCTGGGCCGAAGGCTGCAGGGCTGGGGTGGGGAGGCAGAGGGAGAAGGAGAAGGCATGGCCAGCTGGTGCACCCAAGAGGAAGACAACCTGCCACAGCCTGGCCCTGACTGTCTAGGAAGGGGATGAAGGCTCTCTGCCACGCCCTCAGGTGATGTTGCACACCAGTTCCCTCCAACCCCAGGCATGTGCCTCGACTCTCAGGCCCCCAAGGACAGGGCATGTGTTTCTTGGAAGAACTTCGCTGGGACCCACTTACTTGCCTCAGACCCTGGAAGCTCAGCCAAACCTGCCCTATACCCCCAGCTAAGCAAGGGACATCTCCAGGGGGCCCTCAGTCAGATCTCTGTCCTTGTGGGAACATTCAGCACACCTATGAGTGGAGTGAGCCGGCCCCCATACAAGGAAGACAGGTGGCAAGCAGATAGGATGTTTGGTCTAGTTTTGCGTATATGTCTTTATTTGTAACGAGACTAACCTTCAGACTTTAAAAACAGGGCCGAAGTACCATCGCAAAATGAGCCTCGCGCTCCTGCTCATATGCTGCCCCCTGCTGGGCACCTGAGAGGCAGCCCTGCAGCCCTGCAACCCCACAGCTCACTACTCCAGACGCTTAGCTCGTGTTTTAGGGTAGCAACAGATTTATCTGGATGGATGCAGAGTCTGTAAGACCCCTGTTAGAGGGGAATTAACCATTTTGTTCAGGAGTTCTAAATGTGAGTGTTCTAAAACGGTTTGGAACTTACAGGTCCAGGAACTTGGATAAAAAACTTACATATTCATTTTCACTCACCTCTACCCAAATGAAATTTAGCATTTTGGCCAGATGCAGTGGCTTACAGCTGTAATCCCAGCATTCTGAGTGGCCCAGGTGGGGGATCATTTGAGCCCAGGAGTTTGAGACCAAGACCAGCCTGACCAAGAGCAAGACTCCATCTCTATTAAAAATAGGGGGAAAAAATGCTCAAGCGGCTAGGGCGCCGGCCATGTATACCAGAGCTGGTGGGTTCGAATCCAGCCCAGGCCCACCAAACAACAATTGACAACTATAACCAAAAAATAGCTGGGCGTTGTGGTGGGCACCTGTAGTCCCAGCTACTTGAGAGGCTGAGGCAAAAGAATCAGTTAACCCCAAGAGTTTGAGGTTGCTGTGAGCAGCGATGACGCCATGGCACTCTACCCAGGTTGACGGCTTGAGACTCTGTCTCAAAAAAAGAAAAAAGAAAAAAAACCCAAATAGCTGGGTGTGGCAGTGTGTGCTTCTAGTCTCAGCTTCTAGGGAAGCTGAGGCAGGAGGATTGCTTGAACTCAGAGTTTGAGGTTG